GGGAGAGGATGGCTTCTTTCCATCTCCAAGTCAGGTAAAAAATCTGACCCCCTGGGGTCGGCTCTTTGCCCTTTCCAGTAGAAAAACACCAACCGTCCATCATTAGGGGCATCTCAGTTCCCAGCAAGGGATGGGCATTTTGCCAGAATGTAAACATCTGTGCAATAGAATTGTCTTCCCCGGGAGACCAAAAAGCAGAGAATAGCCAGTGAGAAAAGCAACTGGAAGACAGTTTCCGTCTCCCTCCTCGCATACACAAAAGAAGAAAAAGTGACAGTGAGTTCCTGAGCAACGTTAACACCCTTTCTAAGTTCCGTGAACTCAGTAGGGCTTAAAAGAGTTTCAGACTTATTGTGTTTAGGCACACAGGAATATCATCAGCTGGGGCTCAACGTTCTGGAAGAAGACTGGAAGGAGGCTGCAGCAAGAGAGGTCAGTAAAGGTGCCACTGCAGAGACGGCCCCGCCTCTTTTGTGGACAAACACTTCGCCTTAGGCGGGGCTGCATGGAGCGGGCCTCCCGAGAGGGTCTCAACTGGTAGTCCAGTCCGCCTTGCCACCCTGGTCTCAGGCCACTCAGAGCTCGAAGGACATAGAGAACCAGAACTGGAAACAAACTAGCTGCCGGTTGATGAACTGGCAAAATGACGCTCCCTGTCGTCCATGCCAGCCGAAAGCCTGGAGGAAATATTTTGCACTCATGGCCATTTCTGAGCAACTGTAAAGTAGCTGGTGGGAAGAGAACAATTTTAAGGGAGCAAACAGCTTGGAGGGAGTGTTAAATGTAAGTTTGCCAACTCCAGCCTGGGAAATTCCTGGAGGTTTGGGGGTGGAGCCTGGGGAGGGCCAAGTTTGGGGAGAAGGACTGTTCCATACTCTACCCTCTGGAACTGTCATTTCCTTCAGGGGAACTTGAAATCCCAGGCTCCTCCAGGAAGACGGCAATCCAACAGCCCCACCTTCCCCTCAATCTGAAATGACCTGCCAGCTCATTTTTTTGCATAATAAAACATGTAAAAGAAAATTTTTTTGGGGGGGGAACAATAGCCAGAAAGAGCATATAATTGTTTAGGAGAGATTTTTAAAAGTGGCACTGGGCCTCTGCGGAATTCCCATACCTTTCCAAGTGTTGCCCTTGTCACAAGGGAACACGGATCACTTTTCAGGGTGCTTTTCTTGCCTGCTTCTTGAAGTCATCTGGCAGTGGCTGGCGCCTGTCGAAAACAGTCTTGATTCAGTGAGGCAGTCCTTTATCTTTAGCAGGGGTCATTTCCTGCAGGAGCGCACAGGAGCGGAGCTCCGGCAGTAAGGAGCCCAGGGGGTGGGCACTTGCAACAAGCCCGGCCCCCTGCTCCCAGCAGCCCTCAGTCGGGCCACGAGGAGCAAAGAAGCGTGCAGGTAAGTTGCAGCGCCCCCCCCCCACCTGCCTTTAGGTACAAGCTCTCCCTCTGTGAGGACAGATCTGCACGTTCCCCCCCGCCCCCCAGTAGCTAGCAATCCAAAACAGTCCAGTGGAGCCTGAGTGGTGGGTGACACACTTCCAGTGATGTCAGGGGGTGTGGCATATGCTAATAAGTTATGCTAATGAGCTTCTGCACCTCTTTTTCTACAAAATGACCCTTGGTCTTTAGTACCAAAACCAGTAACTTTAAAAATCCTACTTTCAAAAGCAATGCAACTTCAAGTTAGGCAGGAGACCTCTTGCAAGAATCCCACATCTAAATAAGCTCAGTGGACTTCTGTAGAATAAAGGGGAATCTATTCCACCTTTTAAAGGGGTACTTGTTTTATTTTAAACATTTTTGTTTCATTCCGCCCCTCCCCCTCCCCCATGCTCTCAGGGAGGATGAAAAGGTGCCATGATAAAAGGGACAGATCTAGTGTGGTGCCAGCCAGTGCTCCCTCTAAGCTGAGTTAGTGTGTGCTAGCTCACAGTTTTTTAGCCTCCGGCTCACACATTTTTGTCTTAGCTCGGGAAGGAGGGCTCCAGAGCAAACTAATTTAGGCAGTAGCCGAATCGCTCGCTCACCACTTTAATGCCAGCGGCTCGCAAAGTAGAGTTTTTGCTCACTGGACTCCCTAGCTGAGAGGGACCCTTGGTGCCAGCCAAAGCACTCTCTGCCCCAAACACAAATTTTATCCATCTCATTTTTATCCTTCCTTTCCTCCAAGGAGCTCAGAGAAAACAGTAGGTGTCCCAGTTCTTCCTATCTGACCCGTCCACCTCTGTCCAAGAGAACGGTTCTCATTCACAGAAGAAATGTCTGAGTCCAGTGGCACCTTAAAGACCAACAAAGACAGATTCAGGTGGGTAGCCATGCTGGTCTGAAGCAACAGAACAAAGTTTGAGTCCCGTTTGCACCTAAAGGTGCTTCAGACCAAGACGGCTACCCACCTGAATCTGTTCTTATTCACGTGATACACATATGCTAACAAGAGACATTCAAAGACCTCCCCTTGGCCTTTGGAGGAGGAGGAGGAGATTGGATTTATACCCCGCCCTTCACTCGGAGTCTCAGAGCGGCTTACAAACTCCTTTCCCTTCCCCTCCCCACGACAGACACCCTGTGAGGTGGGTGGGGCTGAGAGAACTCTGACACAAAGTGCTCTTTTTCAAGGACAGCTGTGCCAGAGCTTGTGACTGACCCAAGGTCACATCAGCAGGTGCAAGTGGAGGAGTGGGGAATCAAACCCGGTTCTCCCAGATTAGAGTCCACACACTTAACCACTACACCAAACTGGCTCTCTTGGTGAGAAGGTTATGAAGTCATCCATTCCTTTTCCTTGGGGCCCCACCAGAAAACTGTGACTGCCCCCACCTAGCAACGGATTAACTGCAGCATTGGGGAAAGATGGTTGTCAACTCTGGGTTGAGAAATTCCTGGAGATTTGGGGATGGAGGCCAAGGAGGGCAGGGTTTGGGAGGGACCCCAGGAGGGTATAATGCAATACAGTCCACCCTCCAAAGCTGCCATTTTCTCCAAGGAAATTCTGTAGTCTGGAGACAGGTTGTAATTCTGGGAGATCTCCAGGTCTCACCTGGAGGTTGGCAACACTATAATGTCTGGCAGCTGCACACAGCAAAACCCTGATTTCTTCTTCTTCTTTTTTGGCCCCCCGTAAGGGATTTTTAATTGCATTTTCTGTAAACTACAACGACATTAGGAAAGGAATCTATAAACTATGGGAGAAAGTAAAGAAAAACCACTAAAAACCCATACATGATGCTTATAAAATTAGCTTTTAGCTTAAAGTTCGATTAAAGTTCATTGGATGTGGTCAACAAGTATAATCTTCATACAATTTAAGAGATATCTGACTTCTTAAAAAGCAATATAAGAAATTATTAACAAATGTTAGAACGGAT